AGAGAGAGAGAGAGAGAGAGAGAGAGAGAGAGAAAGAGAGAGAGACAGAGAGAGAAAGAACCCCTCAACCCAAGGATTATAATAATTTAACCTCCTGCTAACTTTCAGTTCGGTTGTGCCTTGAAATCAACGGGCTACAATAAGGACACCGCCAAAAATCTGACAAAAGCTTTTTATTTCCATGCTCGACATCCTGCTCTGTTTGTCGCCAGCATAATGAGTTGGGTTTTTTTTCTTGTTTTCTCATATTGCGCCTGGATTTTGTTGCCTAACGGAATAGTTTGATTTAGGTGTAGATGCAATAATATTATGGTTATAAAAATCGATACACAGTTCAAAAGGTCATTGCAATACTCGTTTTTGAACAACTTCTACAGATCGTACAAATCTTGAGTTAGCATGTATTTCCAAAATAAATTTTTAAAAATAAATGTTAAAATAAGGAAGCTGAAAGGGTGCGTGTCTTAATGTAGCCTGACCTTTATAAGCTTCTAGCTTTTCACATCGTGCAAGCTAATCAGAACTCGTTGTGTTATGATCATCATTACCTTTCTCACCCTGGCTCAGGATATAGGCCATAAACAAACACTTCCCACCTTTCGCTGACGTGTTTGTTCATGTTCTTATAACTTTCCGTTTTTACTGGGTCGGGTAGTTGGTCCTCCGCAAACTGGCACTTTTCGGGCCACCAGACCTATGCACATTTAGTCGCCTCTTACGACACGCAGTATCACGGCAGGTGTATTCTTTACTCTCCTATATTAAAACTATGGAGCCCCCATCTGAAGGAGCAAGAACTCGTGTGCTTTTGATAAAAAGTAAGATAGTAGGTCGCAATATAACATTCTCGAGGAAATAAGGAATAAAGTAGGCATTAACATGATCTAAGAACACAAGAGACCACTGTCTCTGAAGTATACGAAGTTTTCATTAAAAAAGAAAGGGCCAAAAATGTTCAAAGGATTTAATTATCCCAATGTCATATACAGCAGAGTCAGCTTAAAATGAACACAGTTAATCCAAAAACAGTGGTAAACTGAAAGAAAAGAAAATCCCCGATATTTATTACTTCTATTTGAGCAACACCTATTAAACAAAGAATTTGGGTAAACAGAAGAAATTTACGACAAGCCCGCAGATTTCAGTTTAAACAGACTCCAATGTACCTAAAATCAGATTTTTAAAAAGGTCAAATTAACTGCAAAAAGAATCCCCTCCCCCCAAAAAGACGTTTTATCGTCTGATGATGACTATATACAAGCATCCAGGGGTAAGACAGTACCTTCCAACTACCTGCAGTTTATCGAGAGAAAAAAAATAATGGCTGTAGATGAAAACCTTACCCTGTTTTGACGAAGTCCACTACCAGAGATATAAATGACGTTTTCATCAGCAGTTCTTCATCGTTCAAACCCTCAGGCAGGGAGAGTCCTGTCAACTTGCCAAGATACGTCATATTATAGTCGAACAAGTAGGGAATGTCCATTCCGTGCACCATGCCTTTATTGGGATATCCCCTCAGGATGCTGGGAAAGTGGTCGAAAAGAATAAAACGGCCACTGGAAGACTTCCGGAGACCGACTGCCTCTAGAAAGTCAATGGAGGGAAAAAGAAATAAGACATCTGCCATTATGCTTGTAGCGGCGTTATCGAACGTTTCTCTTCTTTCGTACCAGTCTAGTACTTTTTCCAGACAAGTCTGTTTGTTTAGAAGGTTTATTCTAGAAGTAATGTAAGTGTCACGGGCAATACTTACCATGCTGGAGAAGTCTACAGCTTTCTCCGTTTCGGAGGCGGTATAATTTCTGTATATGGCTGTTTTCGTACGTTGGATATATGCTTTCATTTGAGACCGTTCGTTATTATCAAGAAGAACAAGGTACGACCTGTCGAAAAAGCCGACAGACTTTAGGAAAGTTTCATCTTTTAAAAGCCTTTTTGGAACTAGAGGGATAAAGACGCCGTCAATTCTCGGTGAAAAACGAATTCTGTCAATACCAACAAAATTATATCGAGCAAATTCTTCTTCTGGAACGTCTCTCAAACATTTTAAAATGCCTTTACTTTCCGAAACACTACTTGTCGTGGGTAAATCTTTTCTCCTGCAACCGAAATGGTCAGCCAATTCTAAAGCATCTTTCAGAGGTGCCATATTTTCTTGTGTTATAAATGCCGCTCCACCACTAAGAGAGAACATTTTCGTGAAAAGTCCTTTCCCAAATGGGGATATCGCTAAAAGCTGGATAGAAATACCGCCTGCTGATTCGCCAGCGACTGTGACGTCATCAGGATCTCCACCAAACGAAGCAATGTGAGTCTTCACCCAGTTCAGGGCCAAAGCCTGATCCCACAGGCCGAAGTTTCCGGGACTTGCCTCATCTTCCGTGCTCATGAACCCGAGAATTCCAAGCCTATAGTTCAAGGTAACCACGATAATGTCGTCAGTTGTAATCAAGGTGCCAGGGTCGTATTCTCGTGACGCACCCACACTGTAACCACCCCCGTGTATGAAGACCAGAACCTTCCTGCGGTGGTTCATGGGGTCAAGAGGTAGGTTCTGCATGAAGATGTTTAGGAGAAGACAGTCTTCCCTGCCTGGCGGAGTGCCGTAAAGATGGGACAAGGGACGGATGCACGGGACTGCCTCTTCCTTGGCATTAAACTGACCCTCTGGGGGTG